TCTAGAAAATTTACAAAACTCTTACTATTGCAATTAGCACTAATAATTCTGATACCATTAATCTATCTATCTAAAATTAGTTTTTAGCTTTCATGGTTGAAGAATCAAACAGCTCGACAAGTTCTATAGATTAAAACTGGAGTCTCCCTAACCTTCCAGCACTTTCCAACTCCCAGATGCAACCATTTTCCACTCTTTTAACTGATCACTTCAGGTTTTACTCCAAATCTCACGCCCATATTGCAACTTCTTGACTTCTAACTATTAGGGACTTTTTAATTGACTTCCTACTGTGGAAGTTGGTGATATCATGTTCTGTTCCTCGTGACCTCATTTCATGTGTTCTCACTTTCTTTTCCCCATCACTCTAACATAATTATAATTTTGGATAACTTAACAGTCAGTGTCTACGTTACAATGACTGTGAGATTGCTACTTACAACTGAGGGTTGTAACAACCCCTGCTTTGACTTATGTTCATCCTCCTGTGTGTGTCTATGTAACCACCACCATGATCAGGATGGAAGACAAAGGTCTTCCTTGCGCTACCCCTTTGCTGTGAAGTCCACCCCCACCAAACCAAACCTCTGGCAAATGCCAATCAGTTCTCTATATATAATTTCAAGAATGCTATAAGTGGAGTCTCGAAAAAAGTCGTTAGTCATCAACAACGCCTTCAAGAAACTAATCACTGTTGCACACATAAGTAACTCATCCTTTGTACTGCACAGTAGTATTTCCTCATAAGGACACACCACAATTTGTTAAACCACTCACTTATTCAGGGGCATGTGGTTTTGCGCTATTACACAGAAATCAGCTGTAACATTAGTGAACAGGTCTTGTGTAGACTTGAATTTTCATTTCCTGGAGATAAATGCCCGGGAGTGTAACTGAAGGTCATATAACACACTTCCTCTCCTGAAAGAAGAGGAAATGATTTTTTGTTGGTGGTGAGGAAGCACTGTTTCTGCTAGGCCGATCCAATCTCTCTGAAAAACTAAGATGAGTAACTCCTCACAGTGGAGCCGCGTCCTCTGCCTGATTTCTGTTTCACAACCTGAAGCAGGAACTGGCTAGAATCTAGAAGCAGCTTACTATCTCACAGTACATTTCACCCCATCACAGGCACTTCCTCTTCTATTGGGTGAGCTGGGGCTTCTCTTCTCTCCCCAAAATAAGGAACTCTGGGTTCTCTGCGGGACACACATTGGACACAGCAGTCCCATCAGGCCTCCACGATGCCCACCCCTGCCTCCTGTCCCCACCCTCTGCCTCCTTGCCTGCTGCTGGCGGTACTGCTGGGACTCACAGGTGAGAACTCCTTGGGGTAGAATCCCCTCTCCCTGCCCCCGGACCTCCCCATGCACTTTTAGGACCTCCAGGTAAACGGGTGTGCCACCTGAGGAAGCCACAGATGGCCAAGGGCTGGGCATTATCCGAGAGCATGAAATCAGGGATCTAAGCATTTCCTCTGTGGCTCCGCCACCTGCAGCTGGACACCAGGGGCTTCGAAGGAGACGATGCTTCAAACACCAACAATAACGGCTTTTTCCGTAGTAACTCGTGGAACCCTCACAACATCCCTGTGTGAAGCTGTGACTATTACCCCAGATTTACAGAAGGGGAAACTGAGACAGAGAGAGTACACTGCCCGAAGTCACCTACCTAAGGCAGGAAACGTTGGGTTCAAGTGCAGGCCAACCAGTTCCAGGTTCATTCTTTTAACCGTGTTGTGCTGCTCAGCTTGTTGGTGGAGCCTAACTGCAGAAAAATCAGATGATACAGAGGAACAGTGAGAATCGTCATCACCCATCATCCCACTCAGAGATCACAGAGTTCAAACCCTGCTGTGTGGCCTCTCAAACTTTTGTCAGTGATGTGTTGGGTGGCTTCTATGTGCCAAAATTTTTACTGAGCTTTTAATATCTGTTATAATTTCACTTAATCCTCAAAAGAACCTGTATGGTACAGCAGTAGGCTACACTTGTGTATGTACTCATCAACGTGTGCAGTCTGTGTGTGTTTGTGTGTGTGTACGAGGAGGTGCGAGGAAGTAAAATAAACACAGACACACGCGATTTCGAAAACGTTTCCCTCATGTTCTCGGAAAGCGTTTTTCAGTCTACATGAAATGACATCATCAGATGCTTAGTCTTTCCCGGTTTCTCAACACCCTCCCCAAATTTACCCCGACCCTCTCCCAGTTTCTTAAGGCAAGCAAATGTATGTCTTAGTAAAATGAGTAGATTTTCAGGTAGGGCTATCTCGGAGTCCCTTTCCCACGCTGGACAGGAGAGGATGAAAGGTAGAGACTCCTGCCTATGTGACCTATGTCTGAGGTTCTAGCCACACCCGTACGCATATCCAAGGTCATGAAAGCCGCCATTAAAACCCCAGGAAATTTAATGTGTAATAACTTCTCAATTTCTTGAACACTAACCTTGTTCCAGGTACTGCAAATGCCCACGAGTATTAACTCATGCAAGCATGTATA